AGAGAGAGAGAGAGAGAGAGAGAGAGAGAGAGAGAGAGAGAGAGAGAGAAGTAAGGCTTGATCCCATGACCGTGGGATCATGACCTGAGCCAAAATCAAGAGTCAGCCCCTCGACTGAGTCACCCAAGCACCCCACAACACTTCTTCTTAAACGAAATATACAGCTACAAAGTTTTATAAAAATGTATCTAAAACAAATCTACAATACTCCACAATATATAATATTCCTACATTATTTAAAATTTCAGGGGCTCCTGGGTGGTTCAGTTGGTTAAGTGTCTGACTTTGGCTCAGGTCATGATCCCACAGTTTGTGAGTTTGAGTCCTGTGTCAGGCTCTGTGCTGACAACTCAGAGCCTACAGCCTGCTTCAGATTCTGTGTCTCCCTCTCTCTCTGCCCATCCCTTACTCACACTCTGTCTCTCTTTCTGTCAAAAATAAGCAAACATTAAAAAATTAAAAAAATAAAATTATGACAAATTTAAGGTGTCAACTTAAAAATGAGTGAGACTATTTATAATTTTTCAGAAAATTTTTAGAGGCTGTAGAAGAAAAAACTTTGAAGACCACTTTCCTAGACAAACTCTCACACAATACATACAAGAGCTAGATGTTCACTGCACTCTTGATTACAGAAAAAAACTTAAAATGTCCATCAATAGGGGAATATACACTGATATAATGGAATATTATAAAATATTAAAAGTGAATTAGATATACTAGCATCAGCATGGTTTAATCTCCAAAAAAATAATGTTGAATAGAAAAACTAGATTATTTACATAGTGTTTAAAAACCACCCAAAGTAATACTACCTATTGTTTAAGGACATCTACATGTGTAGAAAAACCATAAAATGATAGGAAAGACATTCTGGTTATATATTCTGGATATATCTGAGGAGAAAAAGAGAGTAAGAATGTGGGGGCAAGGAGACTTTACCTGAATTTCTCATATTTTATTTCCCCCTATTAAATGAACTTAAGTAAATATGGCAAAATGTTAACATCTGTTAAATTTAAGTGGTAGCTACATGGTGATTATATTATTATTTGTGCTTGTCTGTGGTTGAAATATCTCAGAAATAAATATTTTACAAAATCAATAGAATAGATGGAAAACCTTCTAAGATGAAAATTACTTACAGGCCAAGGTGGTGGAACAGAAGTTACCTCTGGAGTATGAAAATAAGCAACACCATTATGATAAGTGTAAGGATATCCAGTTGAAGTTGTTAGATACATTGTTCCAGCTGCAGGCATTATACTGGAACCTAAAGCAAAGATTAAATAATAACAATAACTAAAATGTTCAATTTTCTTTTAAAATGGTAATTTCTGAACATTTGAAAATGTTTATCTTAACACACCTATGTACTTATGGTAAAAATTGAATGTTGCAAATTAAAAAAAAATCCATACGTTAAAGTATCTTTGAAATATATGTTTTCCAACTTACTATCTTAGAGCTTTTATTACTTTAAGGTGAATAAGAGAAAAAGAAACAAGTTCAAAAAAGAATACTAAAAATTCATTAACTTAGATTTTAGTACCAATGTAACGAAACAAAGCTTAACAATTTAAATTATTATCAGAAAGGCCATTATTTTTATAAATATAAATTATAAAGTTAACTGAAGACTATAGACACTATAATAAATTTCCTAAGACCTTAGTAAGACCTTTTATTTGTAAAAGGCCAAAGATGATGAAATCAGTGAGGTTGGAAAAGATTCCATACTTTCCTGAAGGGATTTTTGTTCTACCCCACAAATTCTTTGGATCTACTCTCACAAGAATTCATTGACACTGTAACTCTTATTCTCTAGCTTCCCTTTGCTGTAACTGCTGCTGTTGCAAACATAACCACAAATCTTCCATGTGGCTAGTTCTGGGTCCCCATCTCTTTTCTCAGATCAAGTTATTACACTCCTCCCCCCAAATTAAAAAATATGTATGTTTTTGTCAGGAGAACACTTGGAAAATTTATATAAGCCAAGTTAGATTAAGTACTTGACCAGCAAATTTATGTAAGTTATTGGAACTGGCAATCCTTCTTCCAGTATATCAGTGATTCTCAAAACTTAACATACATTAGAATCACCTAGATAGCTTATTATCCAGGGCCACGTTTGCAGAGATTTAGATTCAGTAAGTCTGGGATAGGGCCTGAGGATTTGCATTTTGACAGATCCCAAGTGAACTGTTACTGGCTGCAAACCACACTGTGAGTAGCACTGGCCTACCATTTTAAGCAGCACTACTGCTTCTCAGCCTTTATATTTTCACTGTATTTCATCTAGAGTTGTTACTGCTTACTTTAGTGATTCTTAATCCCATCCTTTTGAGAATCTGATTAAAGTCATGGAGTCTTTTCTCAGAGATATATACTGAAACAAAATTTTGCACACAATTCATGAAGTTCATGGATTTGCCTCCAAAGATAATCAAGGAACCACAGGTTTATCTGCTAAATGAATGAATGAATGAATGAATGAATGAATGAATGAATTTTAAGTCAGTACAGTTCCAGGGCATTGAACTTGGCTGGTGATACAGCCAACAAGAAAAAAGAAAAAAATTGGACATACCGTATTGAAGTTAGGCTCTTGTGGGAAAGATAGTTATTAGGTAACTAGACAATTAATCAATTAAGACAATTTTGATAAATACATTAAGACGTAGTATAGTCTATTATACTAGGTAGTATGAATGTTCCAATTGTATTTAATTTGTGAGGAAATGATGTTTGGGCTGAGCTTTAAAGAATGAATGGGATTTTAATGGAATGGCAAAGAGCATTCTAGGTAAATAGTGTATATTAGGAGTACGGTATGTTCTGGAACTGAGATGAGGCTAGATGGCTAAAGCATGGGAAGAAAAATAAAGGACAGTTCAAAAATAAGCAGGAAATAACTTAAGATGTGCACTTTTGAAAGATTACTCCGGCTTCCTTGTGTATGATAGGTTGGAAGGTACCAAGACTGGATTCAGAAAGACCAGTTAGGAGGCTTTTCCAGTAATCAAGGCAAGGAAAGTGGGTAGCTCAGACTAGAATGTTGGTAATGGAGATGGAAAAAAAAGCAACAGATCTGAGAAAAAATTGAGATAAGAATCCCCTGTATCTTGAGAATCTACTTTTATACTTAATATTTATTTGCAGAAAAGTATAATGAGCTTTGGAGTCAACCTGTCCTGGATTTGAAGGCTAATGCTACTATTTGGTTATATAGTTACTTAACCCTATACTTTTCAAATTCACCACCTGATTGAAAGTATTCAGCTTAGTGATTCATGGTTTTTTTTTTTTTTTTTTTTTTTTTTTAGCAACTTGTGGGTCATAATGTGAACATTACTACTTATACCTACTGCTGGTGATAAAAAATGGTTACTACGTGTCAACAGCTTAATTCTTGGAACAAGAAAGAAGTATTAATCTACTGAGGACACTTCAGTTATCTTCTAAATTAACAAATAACTAAGTCAAAATTAAACCTGATTAACTTCTAAATTAAAATAGACCACCCAAATGAGTACAACTATTAATTTGTTAACAGATGTACAATAAACACCTAATGTTTTACACATCCCAGTGGACATTAGGACACAGCTAAGGAAGAATAAGAAAATTCAGTTGTGAATTTTCTAGCCAAAGACTGTTATAGAGTTTAATAAATATTTAGGTAAAAAGCAAACTGTAAAGATGCCTAATACAATAAATAGGAAGATTGAGAAAAAAAGAAGAGTAGAGTTGAAAACCTTGCAGAAATTTGAGAAAGGCACATAATATAGCCAATTATTAAAGCTTTAGGAATTGTTCCCTCTGATAATTATGACACATCTAGTTGGGTTATAGTACCTACCATGCAACTAAAGTTTCTGATATTGGTTCTTTATTTTTATGTTCAGTATTTTAAATTTAAATTTCTAATTTTAAATTACTTTTCTAATTATAAAAATTTCCAATTCATAATGCCAAATTACTTCTAATTACCTTTGTAATTTTAAATTATATTTTTATTTTAGAAGAGTTTTCCTTTAAAGATGTAATTATATGTAATATATGTAAGCACCATTATTTATGTAAAATTTTCCCTACCCCCTGAAAATCTAACATACATTAATTTGTAAGAAATATTCATTTGATCACCAACTTTGTTGAAATAACTTTATTAAATTAAAGAAGTCTGACCTTCTAATTAAATTCTAGAAAAAGTCCAATATTTCAAAAAAGAACCATGTAAAAATACTGGAAAATGCATTAGTTCTCAATACATACGAGGAATTCCTACTTGTTGTTTTCTTATTGCTGGACCAATGTTCAGTTTCTTATCTTTATAATTAAGTTTTTCAGCCTAGAATAAAAAAATTTTTTTTATTATTTTGGCACTACTGTTTTATAAAATCAATAGTGAAAAACTAGTGAGAAACATTTTTAAAATTCAGACTATAATAGTTTTGAAAGCAGCAAGGAATACTGGAAAGGACAAAGTCTTTGAATATTAAAGATATGGGTTTGAATCTTGGTTCCAATGCTTTGACCCTAGTTCTTTAATGGGAATACAGTCAAGCCTCTACTCATAGATCCCATATTTGGGAATTCACCTATTCGTTAAAATTATTTGTAACCCCCAAATCAATACTTGTAGCAATTTAGTGATTACTAGTGGACATGAGCAGAGAGGTGAAAATTTTTAATTGCCTGACATATATGGTCCCAGCTAAGGTCAAACAAGGGAATACTCTGTCCATTCTTGTTTCAGCTCTTACGGTGAAAACAAGAGTCCGTTTCATGTTCTGTTTAGTGCCATGTTTTTTGCATTTTTGTATTTTATGTTGGTGATTTTGCTATCTTTTTTATTTTGCTATTTAAAATAGCCCTCAAGTGTGGTGCTGAGGTACTGGCTAGTATTCCCAAGCACAAGAAGAATGTCATTTGCCTTATGGAGAAAATATGTGTTACATGAATCTAATTCAGGCACGTGTTACATAATGCTGTTGAACAGGAGTTCCATGTTAATGAATCAACAATATATATTTAACATGAAGTCTTTAAACAGAAACACACATAAAACAAAGTTATGTATTCATTGCTTAATGCAAATAACGTATGGGCATCTGGGTGACTCAGTTGGTGAGGTGTCCAACTTCAGCTCAGGTCAGATCTCACAAGTTCGTGAGTTTAAGCCCCGCACTGACAGCTCAGAGCCTGCTTTAGATTCACTGTCTCGCTCTCTTTCTGCCCTTCCCCTGCTTGTGCTCTCTCAGAAATAAATAAACATTAAAAAAAAAAAAAAAAACAAAGAAGAAAATAATGTAACCAGAAACTTGTGGGAACCTAGTCTTGTATTTCTTCTAGGAACAGCAGTCCAATATTTGCCAATTCAGTGTTCATGGTGACTTTAAAGAACATAACTAGTATGAATAGTGGGGATCAGCTGCATGTGATTTAATATATAATTCAAACTATTTTTTTCCTTAAAAATTAACTAACATTTACCAAATTTAGTTATTACACTGAACTGCAGGCTATAGACTTTTTCTATGAATGTTCTTAGTTTATATAACGTTTTTCACAAGAGGGAAGTAATCTCAGATAATTTCACTCTAGTGTTGTAGTGTTTGTAGGAATTCAAAGTGCTATCAACTAACACTTGAGAAAAGATATATCCCCAAGTTCTTAGTTTAAGCAAATAAAGTAAAAAATTATATTACAGCTTGACAAACAAACGCATGCAATGATTTAGAATTTTTCTATTGATAAAAATCTATGCTTAATCTTTTTTAAAAAGATTTTTAAAAATATGTTTTTAAAAGTAATCTCTACACCCAACCTGGGGCTCAGACCTATAGACCTGAGATCAAGAAATACATGCTCCACTGACTCAGCCAGCCAGGCACCCCCGTTTAATCTTAAAAAAAAAAAGCCAACAACTTTTTTTTTTTAAATTTTAGAAAGAGAGAGAGAGAGAGAGAGAGAGAGAGAGAGAGAGAGCAAGAGTGTGTGAGCAGGGTAGTGGCCAGAAGGAGAGAGAGAGAATGGCGAGCAGCCTTCACGCTCAGTGTGGAGCCTGACACAGGGCTTGATCCCATGACCCTGGGATTATGACCTGAGCCAAAATCGAGAGTTGACCACTCAACTGACTGAGCCACCTAGGTGCCCTTAATCTTTTTTTAATTCAATTTTTTTGGAGACCAATGTTAGTCTTAAGATGCAAATAAGTTAAAAATTTTTTCTAGCAATTGATCATTGTACTGGAATGTTAATACTAAAACAAATATCCTAAAGGATTAGTTTCAAAAAAGGAAGTTGAATACAGTAAGAGATCTTACCTCTTGTAAAATTTTTTGTGCATCTTCTTGTGTTTCAAAAGTGATGAAACCATACCTAAAAAAATGCATTAATTATTTTCTTTAGAACATTAGAGTTATACTAAGATTAATTTTTTTTCTTTTAAGCATGGGTCACTGTAGTAGTGAGCAGTTTTCTAAGGTGCCCAGCATGCAAAATTTAAGAGAATCATTCACAGCTTAACACTGTCACCTCCTCATAGACTCAGGACACACACACACACACACACACAAACAACAAACCAGGATCTTCAAACAGTTTCATATCTGACTTGTATATAAATCAGGAAAGCATGAAAGATTCAAGTTCTGGCTTACAAATTAGGATGCAATAAATTTTGGTACAGAGACATAATCACCTTTTAAAATAATAGATGTTTGGCTTAAATAGGAATCAGAGTAGGGAAAAAAATTTCAACACAAAATTTTTTTAAATTGGTAAATGTTTATTTATATGGATGTATTATTATTAGCATATCTAAACTGATAATGCAATTACTAGTATTTCCCAAAGACAAATAAAAAATATGTACATCCCAGACTTTCTACCTGCTGTTTGCATGGATAATTGTTACCTCCAGAGTACAATTCATATAATATTCAAGATACAAATATATTTTGAATGCAATGTCCAAAAAGCCAAAACAGATAGACAAAATGATATGAAAGAGATAAAACAGTATATCCCCCTGCCAAGCATAATTTCTACTTAGGTAACTTAAGGAAACTAGAGTAGTGCTAAATATCTTGACTGTTTTCTTCAATTCATAGTTACTGTATTATATAAAAAGTTTCTTCCTCTAACAAAGAATTTCTCTTTTTCTATTTGCCCAAACATTAAACAAGGATTAAGGAAATACTTTTACAATAAATTTTTGATAGAACACATACACCACCCAGTGGAAAAGGCATAAAATACAGTTTACATATCTATGTTTTTAGTGGTAAAAAGTGGATATTACCAAAATATTGCAAATTCTATTAACCAAATACAAGAGCTACAATCTCACTTCTTCCTAATACTATTTGTCAGTCTGAGAAGTATCTCATTTGTTTAAAAATAACATCTCTCCAGGAACCCATCTCTTCCAAAGTGCTCACTTGACATTCTTACAAGTTGCTTCCCTCTAGTAGAATTTTCTATCTACGTTGTTAGTCCTTTCTCTTATGTATGTCCTGCCTCTCTTTCAAGAAAATGGACATAATCCTTCACTGATCTCCACTGTCTTACCCATTTTTTTCCCATGGATATTTTATTTTATTTTTTTAAATTTTATTTTTTATTTTTAAAAATTTACAACCAAGTTCTGTCTTACCCATTTTAACTTTGCTATCAAACTTCTTAAGTAAGTACACTATGTAAACTACGTCTTCTCTGAGATTTGGCTTTTGTATAAACCAGTCCACTGCAATAGCTCTAAGGTCGTTAGCCATTTCTAGACAAATCCTCCTGATTTCTTCCCAATTTTTATTCTCTTTGATTTGGCAATTAAAAATCATTCTCTTTAGAGTTATATTTCTCAGGTTAGTTCCTTATCTCTGTGTCTAAAGCAGGCACACAATTCCAAGAGCATCTGATTCCTTTAGCTTCTGGTTCCTTAGCTACTGGACATTAGTTACCCAACATTAAATGCTTGCTACATAACATTGAATAGTTCCTCAGCCAATGCAAGAATAGCTTCCTAACAAATTAAGGAATATTATAGTGTCCTCCCCCATGCCAAAATACACACACACACACACACACACACAATGCAGATTAAAGGCAAGAAGAAAGAAGAGAGCATGAAATTCTCTTTTTAAAAAATGGAATCAAAATAAGTTAGCATACCAAATCTAGTAAGCCAATAAAAATACAATAGTTAATTCTATGTACTATCTATAGCAATACTAACCCTTTGGACACTCCAGCTCTGTCATTTACAATCTTCACTTCTTTCACAGACCCATACTGGGAAAAAAATTTTCTTAAATCATTTTCATTTGTCTAAAGGAAAATGAAAACACAAAAAATTGCTTTTAATAGCATTTAATGGCTTTTAAAATATCCTCTAATTGCTAAAAAATGAAACAAGTCTTATGCTTGTTTTGGAGACAGAAAAGATTGTAAACAAACAGTAATATAAATGTAAGAATGCCTCTCAGCATAAAAACAGTATATAAAACCACTAAATTATTAAAACCAATGTAAATACATTGCTTTATGCAGTGACTATGATGTTAAACTATTATAATCAATGAAAAAAATTTAAGCTGAATTGCTTTAAAAACAAAAAGAAAGTTCACTCATATTTAAAGGAATTCTTGTTGGCCAGTTAAAAAAATAACGAATTAGGCACGGCTATAACTATAGTAAGGGCATATTACTATTGTTTTTTTGTGGCTCAGAGAGGCCCATGGTCATGGCAGTGGAACTAAGTTGTTGGTGTATACCAGTCCCTCTATTTTAATCAGCAGTCTCCAGGAACAGTAAGGTCTTAGGAAAGGAATACATTTCTAAAAGTACTTGAACTCAATTTGTGATGTCAATGAAGTAGCTACAAGATTTAGAGTTTTTAGATAGTTTATCTGTACTCAACATACATTTCAGCTAAATAATGACATCATAATATTCAAAATAAAAATCTGAATCATCATTGGACTATAATACACAAGATATCTACAAAGATGGTTTTAACTGCAGTAGTCTCATAATACAGTCATTTTATCTTTTCCTACAATATTCACACTAAATTCATTGTAATTTCATTTTCTGGTTCAGGTATAACTACCCCATGGAAACTTTAAATATCTTTAGAAAAGAATTTCTTTATATACACAGAAAAAGGCATGCCCAACAGCAGTGCTATGCCTCTTATATACATTATCAGGTTTTAGTTGGTAGCCTACAGCCTGGTAAATTGGATGATGACAAATACTGAGATAATCTTAAGAATAACTAAATGCCTCTTATTTCAATAAACTCAAATGGAACCAATGCCAGAAGAATTTCTGTTAGAGATTTGAAAACAATTCAAACTATTCTCTGATAGAAGAATCACTAGTTCAATTTTGCAGCTCTACTTCCTAGTTGAAAAATATGGAGACAAAGTCAAAGATTAAGTATCAAGAGGGATGGGCTATAAGCTTCCAAAAAGAAGAGTTTTAAAAAGTTTGACACTGTTTGCTACTACAGAAACCCATCCAGGAACCCATCTCTGGATGTTCATTTCCTTGTTGTCATTTGTCTATGGTTTTGGAAACGGTATAAGTATCAGGGAGGGAACCCTAGCCATTACCTTAAAGGTACAACTGTGTTCTAACAATGGCCTCTTAAGTTCATAACGTAGCTGATAAAATTCAATAACCTAGAATAGCCTAACCATATGAATATTTCCATTTATTGATAATTTATTTAAAAATATACTAAGTGTTTATGATATAAATTAATTCTGAACAAAAATACTCAACTCGAATATTTATGCTCAGCCGTTAATATTTTTCATAGAAACAGAAAATCTTTTTAAAAATTAGCATTTCATTATAAATCATTTTTATTCATGTTTAGTGAACCAATGACATACTTGCTTAAAAATCATTATTTTGACAAATACACAAATACAGTATGTGTATCATTTCTCTTGAGAAGAAAAAAAGTATTTTCATCCAAATTGCAAAAGACTGATTATAGGGAAATAGTGAGTAATAAATGTCAAATTTATTTGACACATCTTTGGCACAAAGATTTTTTTTAATTAAGAAAGACAACTATCCCTGTAATTTTCAATATATAATATGGAAACTTGGAAATCTTTCTACATATCCACTTAGAAGTAAGGATATTCCACTTAAAATAGCATGCAGACCTTTCCTATAGGTGTTTACTACTACCTCCCAAATGGGGGTGCTAAAACATCTCACAAACTAAGCTTCTCTGAAAGAGTAGAATGACTGATTACATTATTAAAGTGTATTAATGTTATGATGTTTTATTCTGACATTTTTTTTTGTGATCAGATTCTAAATTAGATGGTGGAAAGCAATTTTGATGCAAGTTTAGGAGGTTATTCAATAGGAACTTGAGAATAAAGTTGGGATAAAGAAACAAATTCATAGGACTAAATTTTGTGTTTTTTTAAAAAATTGCATTTTTTTTCGAAATTATTACCATGCATTACTTTTTTTTTGGAGTATGACATAATAAAGTATAATTAGTGTGGTATGGTGAAATAAGGAATATGGAACTATGAGTCAAAACAGTGGGATTCTAGTCTTCACTCTGTCACGAAGCAGCTAGGAGCCTACAGATATATCAGTGAGCCTCAATTTCCTTGTATGGGAAATTACACATATTCTTTTTAACCAACACTGGTATTGAAAGATTCTTTATAGTAAGATAATGTGAAACCTACTAATCATTATGGAAATAGCAATTGTTATTTTTGCAGTTGTACAAAAATTTTCTGAGAAATAAAATAATTTCTAATGCAAAAAATACACTATGTTACATGCATAAATAGGTACCTTAAAGTCAATTCCTCCTACAAAGATGCGATTAGGGATCACTGTTCCATATCTTGGGGCACTTGTTGGGTTATTCAAAGGCACAGGTGACACAGGATTAGGGGATGGAGATAATGAATCTGTTTGCGTCTGATTTGATGTTTGCTGTAAAATAAAATTCTATTAAACTTTTAGCATTGGGTAGAAGTTTGATGCAGGCTGAAAACAATATCTTTCAAAAAGATGAGTCATTTAGACAAAATGTAATGTTTTAGACTTTAATTTTAGTTTAATATTATGAAGATTATAATTAGAACTAATACTTTTTTTGGAGCAATAAAAATATGGGAAATGTAGAATCTACTCCACTACAGAGAAAATCTTAATTACTTAAAATATTTCTGTGAATTATTATTAAATATACAATTTAAATATTATAAATATTGAGGAATATTAAACTCAAAAAACAGAAAGAGAAAAGCAGCCCTGACAGCTGGGAACTGGCTTTGTTCTGGTGTTGTTAGGAGTTGGCCTCGAACTCACAGCTAGGCTATGGTTGTTCTCTTGTTAACAGGCATTAGGCAAAGTTACTCTGTGATTGTGATGGATCACAACAAAAACAAGACCATTCCATAACCATGTCTGAACTCTGACAAAAACAAAAGCATTGTCCAAACCATAAGAATGACCAAACAGCCCTCTATTCTGGCTGATATGTATAACTGCTCCATCTTTATCAATCACAGCTTTGGCTTCAATCTATTTTTCTTGCCTTCTAGATAAGAATTAGCAGAATTACTCCCACTTTCTGACAACATGCATCTCACAGTAAAGCCGTTCTTCCTTAAACCCTATCTAAAAAGAGCTTAACACAAGTCTAAATCCCATAGTAATTTCTTTTCTAGCACCCTCTTACCAAAAGGCTCCATGGTGCATGCTCTTCCTTGTGGCAACAATTCAATACACCCAACTTTAGTGAACTACAGTATGTTCCTGGTAGTCTTTGGCTAAAGGGCACTGACATAAATTCTGACATTCAAGTTCACTGTTTTTTAACTCTAAAGTCAAAGTTTTAAATGCACTTGTCAATTTGAAGATTGAACTGGTTTTGTAAAGAAAAAAGAAATGTACATACCTATATCTCATAGGCATAAATTTTTATACTAAAGATTGAACTCAGTACATACATGTTCATAATTCTAAGTTGGGGGCCTAATTTAGATTCTAATAAACATATATTAACATATATGCCTTTGCATAATGGCAAGATGGTAAGCTCTTAACCTACATCTGAAAAAAACAAGACTTGAGAATAGAATTTTGAAGAGAAACCAACTTAAGCACTTGCTAATTATTTTCGTTCTGGGAACATTAAACAGGCTTCTCAGACAGTCTAATGTACTAAATGAGTATGCTTCAAAAATCTTGGTTTCAGAATTTCAATTCTCTGAGAAACAAATACATGAAAAGAACAAATGGAGTTGTTCTTTTTCATAGTTGCTCTCCTGTCTCACTTAATTGGCCAATAAAACCATGATCCCTAAGTCAATCCTTCAAGATATACAGAGAAATGACTAGGCCAGTAGTGACTACAGGGCTACAGGCTGGACCTCATTGCGTTCCATTCTGCATCTAGTGTTAAGGAGGAACAACACAAATTCCTAAAAAGGAGTTCATAAAAACACCTATTAACCCACAGAAAAATAATCACATTTAATAACTGCTATGTTGTAGTTTCCAATTAAAGAAATTGGGGAACCAATCTTAAAAGCATTCTCTCCGGGCATTTGGAGGTTATTTGTAACTTCAGTCACTTTACTTCTAGGATGTAGTGCAGAGAATGATGATTTTGGGATGCTTAGTTTTATTTTTCAACTGTGGATTTGCATTGCTAGAGATAATAGCATAGCTCTAGTAGATACAATCTTGTCTGTTTACAGATTGTAAAATTTTAAAAATCAGTCTTCATGAAATTTTCTTCTGAAAAACAAGTTCGACAGATGAATTCATTTGTTCTCCAATTTGTTTAAATAAAAGTCATTCCATTATTTTTCACAGAGAAAGGACATGAACAAAAGTGAACAGGTGCTTTATTTCCAATCTTGAGAAACTAGTTAGATGATACCGAGAAAGGAAAAACATCAACTTTTTATATCCTGTTCATTTCATTCTCATTTCTAAGGCTCCTGCTGTACTGTGGGTTCCTACTGCCTTATTTTTCTTCTTACCACTTATCACTTTCCAACATACTATATAGTTTACATATGTTTATTGCTTACCACTTTCCAATGTAGTGCAATGTTCATATGGGAAGGGATTTTGCCTATTTTGTTCACTGATCATTTAAAGTGGAGATGGTACATAGCAGGTGTTCAATAAATAATTTGTTGAACAAACGAATGAATCACTTCTCCCTGCTCATGATATCCCAACCATTAGGCAGAGGGTTTAAGAATACAATATGAAAAGAACCTAGAAAATATCTTAATGTTAGTAGTGACAAGGCTTAAGCAGAAATATCTCAATTCCTCAGAGAAGGTTGGCGATGCACTGAGCTAATAAAGCCTCAGATTCCACCGGTAATAATTTTGCAAATGTATGAAAAGCACTTAGGCAGGTGTTGTTAGATTAGAAGTAAGGGTTCTTAGTTTAGCAAAACTTCTAGCACTAAAGAGTTTATTAAAAATTTCCTTCAGAGTAATGTGCCCTCACTGCCTCCATCCCTTGAGAATTAACCTCGAAATCTATCATCCACTTTGCCAGCGAAGACAACGGGAAGAGGGCAGGCTAACCGTCGCAGTCAAGTCCTCGAAGCTCCTTCCCCTCCGAGGCCAGCAAGCTGAGGCGCTGGAGGATATGGCCGCTGCGACAATTTCCTCGGGTTCTCTCGGGTCATCGTGAACTTGGGCACTGACACGAGGATCCAACCCCTCCCCACCAAAGTGCGGGAGGGAAAAGAAGGCTAGCCAGCGAGAAATTTTGACCCGCAAACCCGCCAGAAGCAGTGGCTGGAACCCTCAACTGCACCGACGCGACGGGGGCCTCGAGCGTCGGCAACAACTCGGCACTCACGTGGTGCGCACTGATTGGCTGCCAGAGGGGCGGGGGCGGGGCACAGTGGCACCTCGCCTCAGCGCCTCAGCTCCTCAGGCCTGCTTCGTCTCCCGCCCCTCCCCCACCCGGCCCTCAGCGTCTCGGGCGCACACCCGGTATTAAAGTGTCCGGGTCCGTCCAGGGCCACGGTGCCCCACCCCTCCCTCCAGGTCTCTCCGGCCTACCGGTCCCCACTGACTAGCCTGGGAAAGGCGGTGTCAGCCGCCCTGGCAATCCCTTGCGGTGGGCGTCTGGGCGGAGTCCGGCCTGAGCAGGCGTCAAAGACGGTGCCGAGCCCGGTTTCGGCGGGAAAGCTGTTTTTCTAGCCCAGCCCCGCCTGTTGTACAGGACCCGGCCACCCGCTGCCTCCTGAAACCTTCCGGCCATTTCCGAAGTCCCCCAGCCAGCCTACACCCGGTCCTGGCCTGGTGGTCCCACCTTCCCGACCCCACGACCCGACCCGACGGGGCCTGGAGGGAGGCCGCTCTTCACGGTGGTCGATGGGGCATCCTGTCCACGTTTCTTCCCGAAAAAATAGAGGGCATTTGGGCCCTAGACTTCACAATTCCAGCCCCTCAGGAACGGAGTCCACGTTGCTCCTTCCCCTTGCTATCCCGGGGCCGGAGGCCCTGACTGCCGTACTCACCGCCCCGGACTCGGTCTCCATCTTCCTCTACGCTCTTCAGAACCCAGGGGAAAGGATCAGAAACCTGAAGTTTGAAAGCACCTTCACACCAAGGAAGCAACACCACGTTTCCCGACGGACACTCCCCCTGGCGGCGACGGCGGCAGTGGCAGCTGCAGGGGCGCAGGCTCGGACCCGGGACCTGAACCTGCCACCCGGTAGGGGGGGGTGGGGAGGAGCAGGCGACGTCGCCTCGGGCGGCGGGGCGGGCGGGCGCAGCAAGCCGGCGAGCGGCGCGGGCGGGCGGTTTCGGCTGTGGCCCGTGGTCGCGGAGCTGGGCCGTCTGGGGAGGGAAGAGCGTGCAGCAAGTCGGGGCGGACGTGTGGTGTGCAGACGAGGGCTCGGCTCTGGGGCCACTGTCGCCTGCTTTCGGACGGCTGGGGAGGAGAGAGCGAACGGTTATGCAAAGCACCATGCACCGCACACTTTCCTCTCTTCTCCCCTTTGGAGGAAAGTCGGCGTCTGGGACTGGTGGGTTTCGAGAGGTTGACGTGACCTCAGGCTTTACTAAGCAGCAAGAGGCCGGTTGAGGGGTGACTTCGGAAGGCTGGTGCAGGGCCAGGAGGACGGTTTCCAGAGTCAAACTCTGACCCCCCCGGGCCTGACGCGCCAAACTCGGGGACTCCCGAGAAGCCTGGGACTCCGCGCTGCACCTGTTGTCGCCGTCACTCATCCCCGCTAGCGGGCGGGGCGGCGCGGGCGGCTTGGCCGGGACCCGCCGCGCAGCCCAGTCTGGGCCTCGGCGCCCGTCACAGGCTGGCGCCCGGAGCAGCTCCCGCGGGCCCCTCGCGGCTGAGCACCGCCCGGCCGGCCGCAGCAACAGCCTTGAGAGCCGGTCTGCCACGAGGCCACCCGCTCGCCAGAGGGGGTGAGCACTGTGCGGCTTGACTGGAGCGGCTCCGGCGGCCTTGGGATAGCCTTTGAAAAGAGTACTTTGTAAAAAATATCTGTGAAAGGTAGCTGAGAGTTCTGTATATCGCCGCTATAATACATAATGTAATATTATACACACATATATGGTATATAAATATATAATATATAAGCGGTATATAATATATAATCAAGTTGTAAATAATTACAACTAAGTAAACATGTAATAATGCTGATGATTATTGCACCTACCATTTATCAAGAATTCATTTTGTGCCAGTCACAGTGCTTTATAATCAATATCATTTCATTGTTCTCACAGAAACCCTTCAAATAGATACTACTGTATCTATAGATACAGAGCTAAAGCTATAAGAGATTTAACTATAAGAGCTAAAGAGCTAAAGCTCTTAAGAGCTAAAGCTATAAGAGATTTAACTGGGATCTCTCTGACGATTCATGAGCTTAACCATTAAAACAATGAAAAAAAATTTTTTTAATGTTTTATTTATTTTTGAGACAGAGAGAGACAGAGCATGAAAGGGGGAGGATCAGAGAGGGAGGGAGACACAGAATCCGAAGCGGGCTCCAGGCTCTGAGCTGTCAGCACAGAGCCCGACGCGGGGCTCGAACTCACGAACCATAAGATCGTGACCTGAACCGAAGTCGGATGCTCAACCGACTGAGCCACCCAGGCGCCACTAAAAATTTTTTTTTTTTAATATTTATTTATTCTTGAAGGAGAGAGAGAGCGAGCAGAGGAGGGAGACCCAGAATCTGAAGCAGGCTCCAACGCTCTGAGCTGTCAGCACAGAACCCAACTCCGGGCTTCAGCTCATGAGCAGTGAGATCTTGACCTGAGCCGGAGTCTGATGGTCGACTGACTGAGCCACCCAGGTGCCCCATGAGCTTAACCATTTTGACATGTGCTTTTACAAAGTTAGCCATAACAACTATTAAAAATGACATTAATAATAACTTTTGTACTCTCTGTTATAAAAGTTTGTGTTATTTGACTTTAAAGATAAACGTTGAAAAATATGCAGTATGACTTAATTTGTAATCTGTACAGAGATTAGCTCTTCATATTATTTACCAAAAATAAAATGGGAAGCATAATTTTTTCACTGAATACAGTTATTCAGTCATTAGTTTTGCATGCAATTTAAGCTCATTTTAGGTTTTAGTTTCTGTGGAAACAGAAAGGACAAACCTAGGGGCGCCTGGGTGGCGCAGTCAGTTAAGCGTCCGACTTCAACCAGGTCACGATCTCGCGGTCCGTGAGTTCGAGCCCCGCGTCAGGCTCTGGGCTGATGGCTCAGAGCCTGGAGCCTGTTTCCGATTCTGTGTCTCCCTCTCTCTCTGCCCCTCCCCCGTTCATGCTCTGTCTCTCTCTGTCCCAAAAATAAATAAACGTTGAAAAAAAAATTAAAAAAAAAAGAAAAGACAAACCTATTCAAATTAATACTCATATTCTAGAGCAAAATAGTTTTGCTGTTCACTAACAGAACTAATTTTGCGTTTTTTTTTTCAATAGTAATGATGGGTGTGAGTAGTTATTACTATCCCCTCTTTTGCCCAAGACTTTAATTGGCTGAAAACCCTTCCTTTTGAAGACTGTCTTCACCATAAAAGGTGTTCAGTGTGTAATACACAAATTAATCAACACAATTTAGGGGATATTAACTGTATTTCAAGGCCCCTGTTAGGTACTAGGGGGATATACTGTATTTACAGTAGATAATTATTCTGCTTCTCTTTTCATTGTTAAAGCAAAAGGAATTTTTGGTTTTAAAATTTGGATAAATCATGTAAAAGTATACAATTCAACTAGTAGACATTATAGAGTTCCTATTGTGTGTAGGACCTAATATTAGGCTGTATGTTATGGGAGATAGGAGGATGAACAAGATCAAATCCTCATCTTGTGTGTTTTTCAATCTAGAAGGGGAGAAAAGACTAGTTGCTCAAAAATAGTAATGACACCTAAATGTGCTTATAATTAATAAGACATAAGCAGAACAGGATAAGTGATATATGAACTGTGATCAAAGATCTATGGGAGCATAGAGGACCATATAGTGGAGCACAATGTCCAGGGCTGGGTAAAAGCTCCATCAGAACTGATATTCTGGTCTGGGTGGGAAGGTGAAAGGAAAGATACTGAATCCCTGTCATCTATTCAGCATTAGGCTAGGCTAGGCACATTCTTTTTTAGTCTTTTTAGTTACCATTCTTGCTTGCTTTCTCTCTTTCTCTTTGGAAATCGAAGCCTTGGAAAGGTAAAAGTGACTCAGGTAGTTACATTGTTAGTAACTGGTAGATACAGTTTTCAAAACTTGGTTCTATTTGACTCCATTTGCCCATGCATAGTGTACTCTGCCATGTTATTTATACCGTGGTAATGACTTAGAATTTTATTCTGGAGACTTTGCAAATAAAGGGCCATTGAAGGTTGTTGAATCAGGAAGTTACAAAATCAGAGCCAAAATTTATATTCTCAGATTAGAGGAACAGTTTTTAAAAGACTGGAAACAGAATTGAGTCAGGTGCATACTACTCTAGTGAAAAATAATGGGGACCTAAACAAAAGTAGCAGCTCTGAGAATAAAATACTGGCAAAGGGTTAAGGAGAAACCAGAGAAGAACTGAAACTTGGACGTGGTGATGATGGGGAGGGGTTGGTGAGGATGGTTCAGAAGTTTCAAGTTTCAAATCCTGGAGATGTCATTGACAAAGATAAATATAAAAGTGCAACACATAACAAATTGCAAACCTAATATCCCATTTGCTTATATTTCCGGCCAGCATCCCAACATCTCTCATCTTTTTCTTTCACACAGTCTGCTAAAAGTATAGTTCCTGTTTCAGAGATTTACCCAAAGCTGCCTTCCCTCTTGCTTGCCTTCCATTACTGGCAGTTTTCCCATTACTGCCTCTTGAGTCTTCTAGCCACACATTCTAACTCCTAATATCTATTTTAGGCAGTCCTTTTCTCAATAACCCTTTGGATGTGTGCTCTAGCTTATAGGCCTAGATAACCATTTGTGGGCCTCCTGTGGACCAGGCTTTACCCTAAGGCAGGGTCTATGGCTACGATGAAGATGTGGTTCTTGCTCTCCAACAGCCTGTGGTCTAGTGCCAGAAGGAGCTAAGTAAATAGAAAGTTCATACATTCAATGTAGCAGTAGAAGAGTTGCCAAGAGCAGAGATAGCCCAGACCAGGAGTGACTTGGTAGAAAAACATGAAAAGTCATGTTTAGAAGATGTCTCTACTTCCATTTTATTTCTTTCTAGTTCCCAAGTCTATTAACCTGTTGTTGTGTTTTGGAAGATGATCAGATGCTTTCTTTTTCTCTGTGATGATTGGATATTTGAAATGGGAGAGGTGAGGGATAGGATGTTTATTTATTTATTTATTTTTTATTTTATTTTACTATTATTATTTTTTAGGGATAGAATTTTTAAAAATCTGCCTTAAGGAAGCAAAGAGTCCAGTGCAGATCTTCTTTTCCTTTACAGAGTGTAATACTTACATTTAGAGAGGGTGTTACAGAGCTAGTCTAGACTGAAACAGTAACTGATTTATTGAAAAATTCCTTATAAAATTCTTTTATTTGGTTATGCTGTTTACTTTGAGCAACTATTTAGACACAAGAGTATACAATATAGAATTGACTGTTCAAGATAAGGTAGGAGCTCAGTAAATAGTTATAAAATAAGAGACTAAATCAATAGGCAACCCTCTCTCCACTTTCCATTTTATCCCCACCCCTTACCATTTTACTCTTACTTCTGAAATAAGAGTAAAAAGCAATCATTGTCAGAGAATCTTTTTCTTGATCTACTTACACAAGTATGGTTTAATAATTCTGCACGTTTTCGGTTGCTTTTTAGGGGAGGACCTTGTGTTTGGAACATCCCACCTGCAAAGTCCTTTGAATATTCACAGATAATCCTTAAGAGCAAATGATACACCATTTACAAAAATAAGACCTATGAAGTAAGACTTCAGTGTAAGAATGATTGTCCTGAACTTACTGTCCACTTGTAGATTCAGGCCTTTGCCTTGGCTTGCCCCTTTATTTTACCTTTACTTGCTCTCACCTTCTGACCACCAACTGCTGTTTTTTTTTAACCTCTTTCCATTGTTATTTCATCCTTAGATTTTATCTTTCTGGGAGGAAAACATTTTCATCAACCCTTCTAGGGTCCCTGGCTGGGTCTGA